CACTATTACTAAACTGGAAACATGTGTAATCCTCTTCTTTGCATCTGATTATTCCAAAGTATTAAATCAGAGTATTTATATTTGGAAACTGAATTGAGTTAAATTGAATTACTCAAAACTGTTTCATTAAACTCATGCTGAATTTGTGAAAACTGAGCTGCTCACAAGAGCTCATTGATTTGAGCTGTAACTCCATTCACATTTCGTTTTACTAAATGATGATTGTATAAAAGATACCAAACATCTCAGTCTCTGTTTATTGACTTGCCAAAATTATCATGCCCATACACCCTAACGAAGACACTAAGAAACAAATAAGTACATAAGTTAAAGACCCAGCACTGACCTGGAGGAACAGGACAGGATTTGATGTCCTTCCAAAGGCTTTCTACTTAGAAGGACTTTTACAAATGTGACAATCACTCTTTTTCTTTTGATTCTATTATGTAATTATATTTTGAAACTTTTTATGCACTTAAATTATTTCCTATATATCATACTTCAGTGACATCATCTGGTATCAATTTCTCCTTCTGACTTACTTAACATTATCCCTTTCTGACTCCATCCATGTTGCTGCAAATGGCATAGTTTTATCCTTTTGATCACCAAGTAATATTCCCTTGTGTATATATATCATCTCTTCTTAATCTATTTTGGGGCACTTAATCTATTTCTACTTAATTGTTTCCATAGTTTAGCTATTATAAACAGTGCTTCAGTAAACATAGAAGTAGAAATGTCCTTTTGAATTAGTATTTTGAATCTTTGGTGGAGATACCTTGGATTAAAATTACTGGGTCATATGGCAGAAACATTTTTAACCTTTTCAGACACTTCATTGGTTTTGAAGTCCAAGTATCACTGTTTAGCATCTAGGTTGTCCTTCATAGTGTTATTATCTATAAATTTGAAAGCATGCCTTGAAGTTTAGTTTGTGGGCTATATCCAGCTAGGATGGACCATTTATTTTTGGCCTACAGGATTTTTTTAAGACTTTGAACTACTTACCAGCATCTTAAAAAACATCTGAATTACCAACATCTTAACAATTCTGTAGGTATCTCATACATACTTGAAATTATGGCTTCTGTTGACAAAAAAAACATTTGAATTACTTACCAGCATCTTAAAAAATACGTAGGTATCTCATACATACTTGAAATTATGGCTTCTGTTGACAAAAGTCAGAATAATTGCTCACTGTAATAATGATCTTGCCAAAAATTAATTGGCCTTCCCCCAGATATCCAAAAGAGTTATTGATATTGCTAAATAAATCTTAGCTACTATTCAACATGAGGTACTGGAGTCTGCATGTGGGAAGCATCTATCAGTAAAGTCTACAGGAGGATAACTTCCTGTCACTTTAATATGCTACCCACAGTTATACAAGTCATAAGGCAAAATTTTTAGTTGGGAATCATCTCAAATGTGCTTCCTAATTTGAAGCAAATTCTTCTACTCAGCTACTGTTATTTGGTTAAAAGCTGTATATACAAAGTCTTATGTATGTGTATGTTTTGCAGACATGGGCACAAGCAGGAATATTAAAAATATGTACACATATAAAGATGAAAGAACCCAAAGACTCAGCATTATTTTAACTTTTTTATATTTTAAGGTTTATTGGGAAAAGGAGAGAAATAAAACAAACACCTGTATTAACACAAGTGGACTAAAAGTTGCTGATACCTTTGCTCTAAATTGTAACAAAAGTTTTAAAATTATGTGTTTATGCAGCCTTATTTTTCCCTCAACTGACACATATCTCATGAGAGACTACACTGTACAGATACTTTATACAATATACTATACAAAACATCTAACACTGTCTACTATGTAGAACAGGCATACTAAATGCTTTACGTAGTATCCTATTATTCTTGGTTTTATCTTCCTCAGTTTAGGTTACCCACAAATATTATGCCACATTTACATAACCTTATTATGTTGTGTTTTTGTAATTATATTTGTTATTATTAGTATTTTATTGTACCTGACTTACAAGCTTTTTTTGTACCTGACTTTTAAGCTTTATCATTTTTTATGCATAAGAGAAAAAATAGGATTTACTATATAGGTTTTCTTAATATCTGTGATTTCAGGCATCTACTGGGGATCTTGGAACAGATACCCTGTGGATAAAGGAATTATACACTTGTTAGTTCATTTAATTCTACAAGACTCATATGAGAACTCTTACTGCAATATTGCAATTCAAAAAAATGACAGAGAAATTAAGCACATTGCCAACAGCTATCTGTAAATATATATTTATTTGATATGTCCATTTTGAAACTTAATGTTTTGAAAACTGATATTAGAATAGAATATACCTTGTTCTGATTGAATCCTCTGTTCTGTTTGCTGATAGACCAGCTCTTTAATGCTCTTAAAAGAGTTTATAAATGTAATTTCCATACTTTAAATGTTAATACAGAACAGTCTTACAGACACATCACCCATTGTCTATGATTATTTATAGAGTGGAAATTTTGAGCTCACACACTATAGAAATCATATTCTAGTTTTCAGTTCTACCTAAAATAAGCAGGTCAGCCAGCATAATTGAGCAGAATTCTTTTGTATTTGTACCCTGTAGAGAATACATTCCTATACACACCTTCTGATGGGCTGTAATGGAACACCATTATTTCAAGAGTCTAATAATAACTACCCTTAGGCATTTCTGGACAGTACATAATTTTTAAAAAATATTTATTTTGGGCCCTCCCTGGTGGCGCAGCGGGCTAAAGCACCGCACTAAGAAGCTAAAGCTTCGGCATGAGTTCCATCCCCATCTGCCCCAGAGGTGATCCACATGGTGCTGCGGAGCTCTCCTGACTGCCCGCTGCTCTCCTCAGCAGTGTACTTCGACAATGTGCCTGTTCTGCTCCCCACTCTGTCTCTGGTGAATCCTCTCACTGCCCCTGCACCTCTGGCCTGTACTCCAGTTCTGTATGCACAAATAAATAAATCTTTTAAAAAATACTTATTTTGTAACAAAAATAATGAACAACCATATACCAGAGACATTTTGCGGGAGTGGAGTGGGGAATGGGATCAAAAACGGGGGTGGGGGGGGTGGGGAGGGAAGTGCACAGGATTATGGTGATGGCACATGGGTGACTTGGTGATGGGAAACCCACGGGGATTACAATTGAGATGGAAAAATAAATGTACAAAATTATGTAAAAATAAACTGTTATAAAAAAATATATTTTGTAGAAGAACTGAGGTATAGGCCAGACGAACAAGGGGTGAGAGGACTCATTAAAGACAGAGTGGGGAACAGAATAGGAAGACCTACTAAAAGACACTGCAAAAGGAGCAGTGGGCAAGAGAGGAGAGGTCTGCTGTGCCATATGTGGGTTAGCTTCTTGGCCAGGGGTCAAACTCTGTAGTAGTGATAGCACTGAGACTTAACACCCAGCCGCTAGAGAGGCCCTTAGACACTTCATTAATTAATTGCCTATGTGTATTTCTTTATTCTCTAAAACAAACATTTTATTTACAGATATGGAAATTGTATCTGTAAGAGATTAAATATTTTGTTATTCAGAATAATATGTCTACTGACTGTTGAGCTATGACAGTAAAGAGGTCTTGAATCCAAAATTGGAGCTTTAACCACCTGCATAGATGTATTTTTATTGTGATAAAATATAAAATTTACTACTTTGAGTATTTAGTAGTAGTAAGTACATTCATATTGTACAGCCTTCACCCTACACTATTAGAACTTTTTCACTTTCCCAACTGAAACAATTTTATGAATACAGACCATAGATTTTTTTAAAAAATTTGTTTTCTGATGTTTAAAAGTTGATAAAACATATCTAAAAATGTTGAAATCTTAAATCATAAAATCTAAAGTAAATCAGAGGAACTCACATATATATTTCATACCATCCATCATTCATTTTTGTAAAATGTTTGTTTTCAACATTTTACAGGTGTAAGCCCCATAAAGTTCCCAACCAACCCCAAATCACCCATGAGCCTCACCATAAGACACTTGTGCTCAGAGGAAATCTTAATGTTACCCTTTTATTTGTATGCTATAATAATAAATAATGATAGACACTGATTATTTAAGCTACATTTTTTGAGCCCCTAAATAAATAACAGCAAATTTACTAAATCTTATCTGGTTAAAGTACACATGCAATTGATCGCATTAGTTTACTCATATACACTTTAACATGAAGAGTCTTTACTCTCTGGATGGGTCAGATCCAGTGAAACTCTAAATGTAGAGACCATGTTTATAGCTTCAGAGCCTACACTGTACTACCTGAAATCTCTTGAGTTCTTTTTTTGGGGGTGGTGGTGGTGGTGAGAGTTGGATTTGTATTTAGAAGCATTTAAAGTGACCCAGTTTCAACTCTGCAAACTAAAATGGATGATGTAGTTTTTCAATTATTATTTATTGAGCCCTTTACACTATGAATGTTTAAAAGTAAATTTTCTATTATCAAGTCTGATATACTATCATGAGTAACCATATTAGATTTAAATTCTGGAAAAACACTTCCAAAAATGGTTGGTCAGTGGAATCATCATTGCAAAGTGACTATTCATTTTAGTACATATATTTAGAGTGCCTTTTGTAAAAGTGCCAAGTGCTATCTTAGGAACTATGGGGATACTATGATGGACATAGCATGTTATATTACCTGTGCTCTCCCAAGGTACATATTCTAGTTAACATATAGGAAATACATGTAATCGCTTTTAGAAGATGTGTAAAACTTGTCTGCTTTGGGGAGCTATAGAATAAGAGTACATAAATAAATTAGCATATAATGTGAACCATTGGTAGACTAGATGAGCAAATGATTAAGATGGAAATGGGAATAAAACTGTAAAACTGATACAATGCTTTATTTAAATTCGCTATATGTGTAAGAGTCTATTTGTGTATGTATATGGTATTTGTTTTTAATTTCTGTATATATGACTTTTTTCTAAAACAAGTGATTTTGTTATTTTAGACCAACCGGTGGCAGTGACAAATGGACAGCTACAGCTTGTGATTGCCTTTCATTGTACCTAACTGGAGCTGTAGCAACTATAATCTTACAGGTATGTAGTGGAGTATTATTAACTTAGATATGTACTAATTATTTCTGTAATCCCACTTGTTTAATTTTAAGAAAATTATAGGAAATTATTTGGAGTTTTTGGAAAACATTTTTGGGTTTATTTCATCTATTTGATAACAGTTGTCCCATAAATGATTGTATAAATAAGTTACGGCATTCCTAAAGTAATATTCTTTTCTCTAGCTTGATTTTTTTTAAGGTTTATTTATTTTATGCATACAGAGCTGGGGTACAGGCCAGAGGTGCAAGGGCAGTGAGAGAATTCACCAGAGACAGAGTGGGGAGCAGAACAGGCCGAATGACGATGTACACTGCTGAGGGGAGCAGAGGGGCCAGGAGAGGTCTGCTGCACCATGTGGATCACCTCCAGAGCAGGCAGGGATCAAACTCATGCTGAAGTGGCTTTAGCTTCTTAGTACTGTGTTTCAACACACTGTGCCACCAGGGAGGGCCCTCTCTAACTTTATTTTTAGATAAAGTATATTTTTATTTCTCACATCATTGTTATTTTTAGGGCAATATTCAATTTCTCAGGTGTCCCCTATAACTCTCCCTCCACTATAGCACCTGTGTTCTGTCACCATATACCTTCTGCTCTTTCTTCACCCTCTCTCAACCCTTCACCAGGAATATTTCTCAGGTCTATTGTCAGCTTGCAAAGTCTTCCTTTTACCTGACCCTTTGTTTGGTTTCTCAATATTCTACATATAAGTAAACAATTCAATATTTGTCATTTCCTTCTATTTCTCTTAGCATAATCCTTTCTAGCTCCATTCATGTTGCCGCAAATGGCGACATGAATCTTTTTGATGGCTGAGTAGTATTCCATTGTGTATCCATACCACACTTTTTTTATCCACTCATCAGTTCTGAAGCACTTAGGTTATTTCCTTATCTTGGGTATTGTCTAGCATTGCAGTAAAAATAGGAGTGCAAAAAAAATTTTCCAAATTGTTTTAAAATTAACTTTTTTTATTAAAAAAAAAAAGGAGTGCAGGTTTTCCTCAAATTACTGTTTGTATGTCCTTTGAGTATATTCCTAGGACTGAAATCTCTGGGTCATATGATAGGTCCATTTTTAGTTTTGAGAAATTTCCACACAGTTTTCCCTGGTGGCTGAACCAGTTTATAGTCATACCAAAAGTCTAAGGGGCTTCCTGTTCACCACATCCTCACAGGCATTTGTTGTTCCTGGTTTTTTTGTTTGTTTGTTTTTTGTTTTTGTTTTTAAAGATTTATTACTGTATACATAACACAGATGCAGGGGTGATGAGAGGATTCATCAGAAACAGAGTGGATAGCAGAATAGGCAGATGAAAGTACAATGCTGAGGGGCGCAACAGGCGAGATAGGAGAGGTCTGCTGTGCCATGGGTGTCACCTCCCTTTCTGGGACTCAAATTCATGCGCAGTGGCAGCAGATAGCTTCATAATGCTGTGCTTTAACCCATTGTGCCACTAGAGGGGGGTCCTATGTTTTTGTTTTGTTTTTTTTAATATGGGTCATTCTCATAGGTGTGAAGTGATACCTCATGGTGGTCTTGATTTGCATTTCCCTGATAATGTTAAGTTGCACATTTTCTCATGATGTAGCTATTTGCATTTCTTCTTTGAAGGAGTATCTTCTTAGCTCTTCTGCCCATTTTTTTTTAAAAGATTTATTTATTCATACAGAACTGGGGTATAGGCCAGAGATGCGGAGTGTGAGAGGATTCACCAGGGACAGAGGGAGAAGCAGAACAGGCAAATCTATGAAGTACACTGGTGAGGGGAGCAGCGGGAGGGTCAGGAGAGGTCTGCCATGCCATGTGGATCTCCTTCAGGGCAGGCGGGGATTGAACTCATGAGGAAGTGGTTTAAGCTTCTTAGTGCAGTGCTTTAACCCACTGCCACAAGGGAGGGCTATCTTCCGCCCATTTTTTAGAGGGATTGTTTGCTTTGTTTTGTTGTCTTATGAGCTCTTTGTAAATCTTATGTCAGTCCCTTATCAGATGTATGATGCACAAATATTTTCTCCCATTAAGTAGTGTATCTCTTCATTTTGGTGGCTGTACAGAAGGTTTTGGTTTGACATAATCCCAGATATTTCTTTTCTCCTTTTCTTTTTCTTTTCTCCTTTTCTTTTGGATATGGATATGAATGCTTCTGGATATGAATCTTCAAAGATGTTTCTGAAGTTTATGTCATGGATGGCCTATTTATGCATCCTTCTACATATTTTATGATTTCTGGTCTTATAGTCAAGCCTTGTCCACTTTGAGTTGGTTTTTGTACATGGTGTAGTTAGTAGTCTAGCTTCATTTATTTGCCTGTCACAGTTCAGTTTTCCCTGAACTGTTGAAGACTCGTTCCTGTTCCAGTATATATTCTTTGCTCTTTTTTTTTTTATAATTAGTTGACCATAGATGTGTGGCTTTACTTCTGGGCTTTCAATTCAGCTCCATTGGTCTGTGTGTATTGTTCCAACATATAATACCTAAAGTTTTCCACTGATTTTCAGTTGAACCATCCCTGTCTCCCTGGAATAAATCTCACTTGGTGGTGGTCATTTCCCATTTGGTCGAGGTGTATAATCCATTGATACAATGTTGGATTCAGTTTGCCAAGATTGTATTGAGGAGTGTAGCATCCGTGTTCATTAGTGAGATGGGCATGTATTTCATTTGTGTTGTCTTTTTTGCTTTTTATTAGTGTGCTGTTGGCCTTGTAAAATGTATTTGGTAGAATATCTTGTTTCTCAATTTTTAAAAGATTTCTAGGAGGATAGGCATTGGTTCATCTATGAATGTTTGGTAGAACTCAGTTCTGAAACCATCTCATCCTGGACTTTTGTTTTCTGGGAAGATTTTGATTATTGTTTCAGTTTCCTTACTTGTAACTCCTTTGTTCAAGCTTTCTCCTTCTTCGGTTAGCCTTGGATGATTTATAAATCTAAAAATTGTTCCATCTCATCTAGATTGTTGAATTTGTTTGCATATAAATGTTCATAGTAATCTCAGATTATCCTCTGAATTTCTGCTCTATCTGTTGTAATTTCTCTTCTCATTGATAATCCTATTATTTGAATTTTCTCTTTTTCCTTGTGAGACTGGCTAGCAATTTGACTATTTTTTAAAACCTGCTTTAGTTTCATTGATCTTGTACTTTTTTATTTCTATTTCACTTTTCCTCCTTTAATTTTTATCATTTCCTTGTTTACTTTTGTGTTTTTCCTTCTTTTTCTAGTTCTTTGATATCAGAAATAAGATGTTTCTTTGGGTTTTCTCTTGTTTCTTGATGTGGACCTGTAATACTACATACCTCTCAATACTGTTTTTTCTATGTCTCATATGTTCTGTAAGGTTATGTCCTCATTATTTCACTCAAGATATATTTTAATTTCTTCTTTATTTCCTCATTAATCCAGTTGTCTTTCAGTAGTGTATTGTTTAGTTCTCTGATAATTGGTGTTCTTTTTTCTTTTTGAGGTTGATTTCCAGTTTGATACTTGTATGTTCCAAGAAGATACTTGCTATGATTTCTGTCTTCAGTATTTGTTGATGTTTGTCTTACAAGCCAGTATGTGGTCAATCCTGGAGAATGATTGATGTCCACTAAAGAAAAATATCCTTTCAGTTTTGGGGGGAGTGTACAGTGTCCTATAAATAAATGTCTGTTAGGCCCATGTGATCTGTATCTTTGCTCATATTTGTTTTCTCCAGCTCTTTACTTTCAAGCTGTATTTATCTTGAACTTTGGTGTATTTCCTGGAGACAGCCATAGGGTTCTGTTTTCTAATGCTACATGCTATTCTGTTGTGTGTTTTGATTGGTGAGTTTAGGCCATTAATGTTTAGGGTAATTATTGATATATGGAAGTCTGTTCCTGCTATTAATGCTCATTGTTTTGTAGTTTTTGTTTAATTCCTTGTTCAATTCATTGTGTTTATTCATCTCTTGGTTTAGCTCCTAAATCTTGTAATATTTCTTGGAATGGGAATTTAATAGTAGCAAATTGCTCAAGATTTTGTTGTCTAGAGGTCCTTATTTTTCCTTCATTGAGGCAGGAGAACTTAGTGAAAAATGTATTCTTGGCTGGCATTTTTTTTCTTTGAATATGTCAAACCATTCTTCTTTTGCTCATAGTTTTGTGGTTTTTTTTTTTTTTTTTTTCAGGGAAGTTTGATGTTAGTATAAGTGCTCCTTTATAGGTTATCTGTTTCTTTTCCCTTGCTGAATTAATTTTTCTTTTTGAAGATTTAGTTATGCATACAGAACTGGGGTACAGGCCAGAGGTGCAGGGGCAATGAGAGAATTCACCAGAGACAGAAGTGGGGAATAGAACAGGCAGATTAAGGAAGTACACTGCTGAGGGGAGGAGCAGGGAGACAGAAGTCTATTGTGCCATGTGGGCCAGGGATCTTAACTAGTGCTGAAGGAAAGAAATGTGTCTAGTATCCGTAGTGCTGCACTTCAACCTGTTGTACCACCAGGGAGGGCCTCAATTAAGTTTTCTTTGTTCTGGATCTTAGAAGCTTACTGTTACATGTCTTGCTTTGGATTTTCTTTCATTAGTGTAGTTTGGTGTCCTTTTAGCTTTGTAAGTCTATTTTTATTTTCTTCTTCAAATTTGGGAACTTCTGTTTCTTTGATTAGCCTTTGGGATTCCTATGACCCTTACATTTCCTTTCCTTATGGTGTCAGATAACTCTCGAAGTATTTCTTCATTCTTTTTCCTTTGTTTTTCTTCCTTACTCCATTTTGATTCTTTTTGTATCTGTATTGCTAAAATTATTTTTCCAAATCATGTATTTATTCAAACTTTTTTTTGTATTTTATATATAATTTACATCATTCTTACTTTTTGAACAATGTATGCTTTTTCCTCTCTGGTGTACTTCCTATAAAATTCCCACTACCAATTCACCCATAAATGACTACCAGTCCCTTTTGTTATTCCCTCCCCTGTTTTGGTCCCTCACTCCTCCCCTGAAGAGCAAAACTAAAACTATAAA